TGGAATAAATTGCCCAGGGAGGTTGTGGAATCTCCATCTCTGGAGATATTTAAGAGTAGGTTAGATAAATGTCTATCAGGGATGGTCTAGACAGTATTTGGTCCTGCCATGAGGGCAGGGGACTGGACTCGATGACCTCTCGAGGTCCCTTCCAGTCCTAGTATTCTATGATCTTTTCATGTAATCCCCATGCTCCCTCTTTTTTTTGACCATGCCATCAGGCTATTTTGTCCAGTTTACATTTTTCACAGCAGCTCCTTATAGGCTTTTTTGCATGTGTCACCCTCGAGGTATTTTGTAGCAAATGCTACATGTTGTGTCATGAAATTCGTTTTTTTTGTTTGTTTCTTTGAGAACAGTCTCTCACTACAAATAAGAGACCCACAAGTGCATACAAGTCCCTCCACTTCTTTTGAAAATTTTCGTACTCGTCTTCTCTTTTTCTCTTTGTCATATTTACTGTTAGGGTACGTCTAGACTGCAGGGGGGGGAGGGGTTCGGGATACCAGTATCCCAAAAAAACTCCGCCACATCTAGGGAATGCGTTTGCTCTTCTGCTTTTTTCCGCAGAAGAGCAAACACACTGTTTCAGAAGCCCTGTCTTCCTCGTTCCACAAGGAAGAAGAGATCTTCTGAAAGAGGGTTTTTTTCCCCAAAAATTTGGCCCAGTGTAGATGGGCCAAATTTCAGAAAAGCCTCTTCCCCCCCCCCAAAAAAAGGCGGAAAAAGGTACTCAAATTGCGGTGTGCATGTTGCGTACCTTTTTCTAAAAAAAGTTGTAGTCTAGACATAGCCTTAGGGGGTTACAGAGTTCACCAGCACATATAATGATGGAAAGATTTCTTGACCAAGCAAATAAAAAAAGAATATGCACAATCCCCAATGAGCGGCAAGGACGGATGGTTATTAAAATGAATAGTTAAAGGTGAAACAGACAAAAAAATCCCTTCCTGACATGAGGAATTACGTATCTTTAAATTTTTGAATGAATTTTTCATTTCTCATTTTAAAAGTTGTGTGTGTTTTGCGACAAAAGAGCCCTGTTTGGTTCTGTTCTGAGCCATATTTAAGCTTAGAGCAGTAGGTTGCAGACCCCCTGGTCTATTGGCTAAGAACTGGGACTGTTTTCATGTACAAGGATTTGTCTATGTTGCCTACAGCTACCCTGCCGTTTTTTTGCGGAAGAGGCTATGCAAATTGCACTCTCATTTGCATATCTTCCGCTGATCCTTTTTGCGGAAGAGGTTTTGCTGCTAAAAAGCCCTGTGCAGACGGGGCCATTTGTCGGGGAAAAAACCCTTTTTTGCAAGATCCCTTAATCCTCAAAACTCGAGGTTTACAGGATCTTGCGAAAAAGGGGTTTTTCCCGACAAATGGCCCCGTCTACGCGGGGTTTTTATTGGCAAAACTTTTTCCGCAAAAAGAATCGGCGGAAATATGCTAATGAGAACACTATTTGCATAGCCTCTTCCGCAAAAAACCGGCAGTGTAGCTGTAGCCTGAGCAGCCAGGGATGGAGCCAGACCCAGGGAAGCCAACAGCTTCTGCAGGACACTGGGCAGGGTGGGTGGGGCTGAGGCACTCCCACAACAACTTAAAGGGCCGGGATCCCCAGTCCCCTTTGAATTGCCCAGCTCTGGGGCAACTGCCCCCTTTGCCCCTCCCCCCGTTGGCAGGTTTGACTGCCCAGTATGGGGCTGTGATTGCTAAAGCGCATTCAGGCGTGGCACGTTCATTGGGTTGTGCAGAGCCTGCCGGTGCGCACCCACGGTTCCCTGTGAGTTTTAACGTGGGGCAGTTTGCAAAGCACCCTCGGGACCCGTGCAAGGAGATTTCATCCTGCCATAGAAAGCGAGAAATTCCCACCGCTCTGCCCCCTGTAGGTTTTGGGAAGCTACAGAAAACTCAACAATTGCTAAACAGAAACCCCACAAAAGAAACCTCCCCATAGCCCGTGCTCTCTATTCTCTTGCAACGGGCCGACCTTAGCAAAATGGCACGCCCAGGCTCCAACCGGGCCCTTGTCAGCATGTCTCCTTGGCGGGCCATTCCCACCCGAGTGTCTGAATGAAGCATCGACATTTCAGCGGGCGTGGAAATGCCATAAAAAAAACCCAGAAATTTCTGTGTCTCGTTCAAACGCAGAATCAGCCCAAATTTCCCCGTCAGAATTCCCCCCACCCTGGAAATCCCATTGCCTGACCAGCTGGACATCAAAAGTGGCTGACCAGGCTGCCTTTTCAGCTCCAGCTGATTGGCCTAGGACGGGGGAGGAGGGGGATAATTTTTGATGCAGGGGCATTCCAAGAATTTGGTAAGTGGCCCATGATATCAATGGAAGAGATGTGGGGTCTGGGATGGGGGACTGGGTGCTGAGGGGGGCTCGGGGTAGCGGACTGGGGTGCAGGAAGGGGTGTGGGGTCTGGAAGGGAGTTCGGGTGCAGAGGTTTGCATTGCGACCTAGGGCAGAGGGTGGGGAGGCAGGGTCTGGGAGGAGATATGCGTGTAGGAGCAGGGATGCCGTGGGTTTGGCTTGTGACCCGGGGCAGGCAGGCAGTGGGGGTGCAGGAGTGGGGTGGATGCAGGAGCAGGCTCTGGCTGGGAGGCGCTCAGTAGCCCAGAGGGATCCTCAGGCAGGACCCTTGCCTTCCTCACCCCCCGCCCCCCTGCCCCCCC